AATTGAGAACTGCTCCAGTTGTATCAAATAATGATTTAAAATAAGAAAGCGTCACATTTATCAATTCTTGTTAAGAAATGATGTCATTATTGTAGAAAACCAAGCAAAAAAAGCGTAGATGTTGTTCATTATCAGTTGATCTGCGTTAGTAAATAAAAAGTTTTGAAAGATATCTCGCTTAATTCTTAGTATTATTGTATATGGAATCAACAAACTAGTAGCTATCTGAATTGAAAGTAACTGTAATTCGAAAGGTGTACATAGAAAGTTTGTAAAGAACAAAGGCAACTGAAAAACTGGTATTGGTATTGGGATGTGGTAGTCATTTTTTGTCACGTCTCTATTGTAAATTAACATTAACGTCTACTTGTTCTTGTTTTCACTTTATTTTGGTCTCGTCTTTGTGACTTGCCGCGAAATGTCTTGAATATGAAAAGTATAACATTTTATATTTGTGGCTAACAATTGCAATCAGTTCTCTGCATAAGAATCATCATGATTTTTTTCTGACTTCGTAAGTCTATTTTCAAATAGTCATTCTTACAATTTTAGTCTCATGCCAAATCAACATTCGCTAATTTCGAATTCGTTCAGTGATGGTAAATCTTGCACATTTTCATTTTTCTATAGTTTGCTACCACTTTACATGTAGATCTTATTTTCGTTCTTATAGAACGCCATCGTCAATATAGTCATTGTGGTTAACAGCGATGACGTGCAGTTAATCTACATGAAAGGAAACTTGCATATAAAGGACATCATACCGATCAATGGCATTGTCTTAATAATCATTTCGCCGCTATAGAAGAGGCATGTGTTGTGCATGACTGCAGTCTCATATAATATCATATTCGAGGATAGAAACAAGAGTCACGAAAAGATGTGACAATGTATGAAGATATGTGAATATCTGCTGTCTTACGTTGTAGCTGCAGTTGGTGTTTTTTTTTTCATTTTTGTCTCTATCATTGTTGTTATTTTCGTACTGGTTGCTATCATGTAAACAGTCTCACCTTGTCTTCTGTAATAGTTAAAAAAATTGAAATAAATTGTGGTTAAATACGATAATTGTATCTTCGAAAGCGTCTCGCATTATGATGCGCAAGGAATCATTGACAAATGATTTATATGTTTTTATGTTCGGCAAGCGCCAGTCCGTCACTTCCACGTAGTGTCGGATGGAAACATCAACATTTTTGACGGCTAGGATGGGCTTTGATTAACTTTGAAGTTGTTACGAGACTAGTGTTGTCAAAAACTTATTTGATACTTGTTTGCACAGTGTCTCTCGAATCGATGAATAGACATTGCTGTTATCCTATGTGTTCGTGATTATCTTGTGAGTGTGAAAACATATACTTCCTTTTTAGTCTTTTTCAGATAAATAGATTAAAGTTAACGGTGTTTTTTGTCACATTAAAGATGCCATATGCCATTCGTCAAAGAAAAAGTATAACCGATTTTCAGCCCATATCAATACAAGGGCCAGTAAGCGCCAAGCAACAACAAAAGATAATGTGGATACTACTTTTTTCGTTGTTTCTTCTGGAAAAACTGCAATTATATTTGGAAAATGATGACATTATTAGAGCATTACGAATAGAGAGAGACAAATGAAGTCAATTTATATTCATTGACTTTGTCAAATATTTCTTTTTTTCTCTACAATATATTGTCATTCTGTCGAAGTATGACTGATATCTATCGTCCATTATGGCCAAGAAGTTATATGGCACTTCCACTACAAGGTCGGATGACGGTGTGGATGCGATTGCCTTCAATGACCCATATCCACATCTTGCTTGATTTAAACCTACAAAATCAATCATCCTCTCTCAATGAGAATTGATAATACATTGCACGATCAACTTCATCGTCCAACTTAACGATCATAAACTAGTTACTAATAAAACCGTTCTTTTTCTGTATCGTAATGAAACTCTGCAAAATATGTAATTATTCTTTCCCCATTTATTATGAGTTGTTATAATTACAGAACAGTTTTTACCTCTCTGCTTATTGCTTTGTGATTCAGTTTGAATTTACTTTAGACAAATAACGTATTATCTTTGTAAATATATATATATGTAACTTCAGCCAAGACTTTGGCAGATAATGCCATACTTCGCATATCAAAATAAGGACACAAAATAAGAGTAAAAACTAACACTTCTGTTTTGAGTACACTGGAAATTACAATCCGCTGAACCCAGGAGCAAAAGCCTTCGTGATCCCTAAACATAAATATAAACTGCTTTCAATGATCGTTCTCGACTTTGAACCCAAACGAGCTAATTTAATCGTATCCAGCCAACACCTGTCCACATCACTGAACCGGTCCTGGCAACTCTTTACACTACTATCGAAAGTGAATCTTCTATTATAAATTTGTTTTATAATACTGGTGATAGATCTTGTTTGGATTCTTATTTTGAATCGTAATTGGATAGGCCATCTGCTTGAGACTCTTTAGAAAGGTCGAAACCGATCATGGCAGTTTTTCCGCACCCATTCCCTAATCACGCTGAATTGTTGGCGAACATCAGTCAAAGTGAAAAGATTAAAATAGTTCCTTTCCATGACATACAAAAACAAGAAAAAAACTCACGATATTAATTGTGCATGAGGAGAGCTAGACGTTATCCTGCCTATCTCTACTAGAATACGATTTGACAAATCACCAGCGTCAATAAAGCAATTTATGCGGGTTTTCGTTCTAACGGGTCGTGAGAATCGAGAGAGCTCTTCACTGAAAAAATAACGCCTTACAATGTTAAAATAATGGAGCGGTTTCGTATTTAAGCCCTGACAACGAAAATATTTTGTGTGATGTCGTATATTTCTTGCTGAGAGATACCGCAAAGAAAAACTAATCAAAAGACGCCAGTAAGTAAAAACTAGCTATAGTTAGTTACGCTACGGGAACCGAAGACAGGTCCAATGCTATTCAAAATTCTATGCAGTGCTAGTTTAGGATTATCACTGTGGGCCATGTTACAGACCATGCAGTCAGTTGAGAAGGCACTGGCTCGATTAAAATAGTCGAGTATCTCTTGAAATTTCGGTGGTACGGGCTGTTCACGCCATTTATGAAATTCGGCATAACGACTTGCATTGCTTGCAACTGATAGAACAAATTTAGCTGCAGCACTAGGACTATCGAATTGACGCAAATCAACAATGCAATTTTTACATGGAAGCCATTCGTCGATATTGGGGGCGCCTAGGTATAGAGGAACACTGCCTGCTGCCAAAGCTTGCCATAATTTCTCAGTAACATAATCATGATCGATACTGTTCTCAATCGCAACAGTAAAAGGATAATATTCGCTCAATGTCATCTTGCACTCAATCCAATTGCTTTTATAGAAGTCACCAGTAAAATTGCAATGATGAATACGTCCAATGGAGTAAGGTAGAGTTTTGCCTTTATTATTACCGCACTTGCCCCAAGCGTCAACATGCATGAAGGACATGAATTCTTTCATGTATTCAGTACGATGAGAAGGTGTATAACAATTGCTATTCATCCAGAGCACAGATGAAGTAACGAAATCAGGTTTTATAGTCTTTGCAAGCATTGTTGAGTTGAGAGAGGCTCGAGACGTAGTTAATTTATCTTTATAACGAAGCAGGTAGGCAGGTGTCACCACATGATATAGGATCCGATCGTACCCAACTGTAAGATCAAACAGAGGAAATATTCGTTTCTCGGCGCCCCATGGATAATAAGTGATTGGCTCGTCTTCAAGTACAAGTGCCCAAATACTATCCGACGAACGATAACGACGAAAAATTACATCTGCAAAAAGCTTACTTATGACAGGAATGCGCCCAGGAGCAATTATTGACGGGTAAGGTGGCCCATTGGCTAATAACTCGAGTGCTGGACTTTTGATGCAATGGATTCTTTCATCAATTGAGGCATTTTCTCCTTCTACATGAATCGGTACGCTGAGTTGGCCACCTACTTTACATCTGATATCTTCAGTAGTTGTAGGCATAATTTGCATGATTTCACATGGAATTTGAGTACAATTTCGGCGAAGAACCATGTGACAATAAATATCGACAATCGGTCTAACTTGATCAGATACATTGCACATTTTTAAATTGGCAGATTCTTTATTCAAGGACAACCAAAACCAAGTGTTAAAATTGAATATTTTTTTCCTATAGAATAAATAAGTAGGCAGAATTGGTTTTTGAATTGAACATGTCTTTTTTTGTGTCTCTGAGAAACGCTTATACAAAGGTTGAACGAGGCTGAGATTGAGGGACGATTATTGGTATTCTGAAACATGCGCTACTGCAATAGAATAAGAACAAGTGTTTACTATCAACATACCATTAACAGGAGGTAGGAATGAAGAGTACAGAATGCAATGCATTTCCACACATCTCCACCCCATATTCAAAGACCAGGAATATACCTATCGATATACAGTACTGGCTAAAATTATAAAGCCATGTCATACCGAAAAATTCACAGGAGTTTTCGCTATTAATCGCACTCGGCGTAGAAAACGGCAATTATTTGCGAAAATCGACAAAGCCGCTGATTAGTTGCGATATAATAGCAATGTTCGAGATTTAACTGATAAATCATCGGTTTTGTCTAATTTTTTCCGACTAATTGCAGTTTATTTGCACTGTGTGACGAATTTTTAATCCGAGTATATGTCATATTCGAACTTTTATCACTCATAGCCATCTTGATTATGTTGCAGATAAATCAAGACCGCTAGAAAACGAGTGGTGAATTTTTCAACTATGCACAGAACAAGTAGGAAGGAGTTGCTTATTCCTATTTACACAGAATGCATAATCCATTGGTTCGAAAATGGAGTTGTCATATTAAAATACGACACTTTCGACGAAGTGGTGTTCTTACTGATGAAAACGCAGTTTTTGTCCTAGTAATCGATGGTCATGCATGATCAAAACATTTTCATGCATTTTCAGGCTTTACCATCGACGCATCATATTATTTCACGTTCACTGTTAACCTAACCGAAAAATTCTTTGCTTAAATTCTTTGACATAACAAATGATCACCAGTAGGCCATCGATTGGTTAGAGAGTAACCGTATGAAAACTCTTTCTTATGTCCAATGCTTCTTTGATAGTAGTCCTAAGATATGAACGAGATTCTGTGTATGCTGTTGAGAATTAATATTTCCTTCAAATAGGTTGATCCTTGCCAATTACAACAAGTACTGAATATTATCTAGATCCTTGAGTTTCGGTGACAGTATAACTTCATTTTGGTATTAAATAGAGGTCTGGACACATAGCTATGCTACTACGATGCATGCGCGTCACTTTTTCGGTCTTTTATACGGTTTATAACTGCTCCTTTATGGATAACTTCGAATTCACCTTACTGTTCTTTCGTAGCGAAAAGTTCCCTGAATGAAGTGGAATGTTGGACTCCTTCGTATCTTTGGTTACTTAGAATTATTAGCAAAAGCTCTCTAAGTTCGATCTTAAAAGATAATCTACTACGGAACTCCTAGGATTTTTCTAATGCTTCTAAGAAGTCAGTGATATCGAGGCACGCGACATTTCAACTGAGTCAGGGAACTTTTTCTTACTAACTCATACTACGGAGATTTCGAAGTCATCTCTAAAAGAAGAATTATAAAGGCACCATCCACAAATATTGAGCTATTTTGAACTGTCTTTCTCGTGTGAGCTTTTGTCTTTTTTTCCCGCTGACTCGCTTCACCTCCTTATGCATGGAGACGTCCGGTTTTGATCAATAAATGTTCTCCATAAGTATTCATAACAAATGAGGATTTGTAGTAGTATTTTAGAGAGTGGTTTAATCGGTGTAACTCGAACAGACAGTAATATTTGTCTGTTACTCGAGAGGACTCGAGTAAATTTCATAAAAGGTTTGTAATTTGTATTAGTGACTATATTCCAACGGTTACGGCATTTTCCTTCCGTATGAAGCACGATTATTCTTTCTCTAAAAGGTGCATGTGCATGTACTCTATTTAAATAGGAAGACGCAATTTTGCCTAATGACTTTTTTCTGAATTGTATCAAATGACTACAAATGAACATGTCGATTACCAAGCAACATCTCAAGAGGAGAATGGAAGTGTTTCGGAAATTAAAAACCTTGATGTAAGCAAAGAATGCTATACATTACATATCGCTTTTTCAACATAACTAAAGATCTCAATCGAACGCATAACGATTCTCCAAAAACTAAAGAACTTAAGCAATGCTTATTTCAGTCAGAAGAATGTGGTAACGTCACTTATATTTATTTGAGAGCAATCTTAGAGTCCAAAACTTCCTTTACTATTATGCTTTTAAGAAGCCTTTGAAACTGGATAGGATCCTACCGTTCTTCTGACATCATATGTTACAGTCTTAGTGTAAATAGACTCGACTTTTATGAAAAACGATAGTATGAGAACTAAAATTAAAAATTCTATAAAGTACAAGATATTTAAGAAAGTTCTCTTGAATTGAATACCGCAACACAATATTAGAGAACAGTCATCATGGAACTCCAATCAATCGTTGAGGAAAAATTGAATTTTCTTTGAAAGGTTCAATCTAATGTGTTAACTGCATGCTATGAGAAACACAACAACTTAAGCAAACATCATTTGCTGATAAAAAAAACTCTTAGTATCTGAGATATTCAGAATTTTCTTTGGCAAAGTAATCATATGATCGATGTATTCGTTTCTATTCGTTTTTCACAATTCAAGAAAAAGTGTTGCAAAGCATCTTGCAATTTGGATAGAGTATAGCGAAACATTTTTAAAAGTAGAATAAAAGACTTCATATCATTGAATACAGTTCATACAAAATAAAGTTGTTGCAAGAATCCCAACATCTTCGATAGATCCGCGCAATTAATATAAAGATTCCTTTGGTAAGTCGAAGTTTCTCAATTCTCATCTAGCTTGTTGCAGTCTCACTAAAATCTATATAATCCTGTTGACATCAACGACTTCAGTTTGCTTATAATTAGTGGTAACATTGAAGTTATTTTGTTTTTTGGAATACCTCACCAACTTTTGAGTATTTCTCTAAGCGTCCAAGAAGGTAGATTATTTTGTTTAGATCGGTAGACAGGTTGATCTGGTCTAAAATAGACTCATGTCACCAGATTAGTCTCTACTTTTAGGATGCTACGTTGATTTTCAATGTCACGTTTCTGTCATGCCGTCTATCCACCCATTTGCTATCAAGTTTTTTGAAATTTGCTAGTTCCGCTAGAAACGTCTACCTTCAGCCAAACTTGTTTTCCCTTTGTCTGCTTTTTGTAGTCCCATCCCGCCTCCTTATGCAAACATTCTTGTGGATGACGCCTAATCCATACAAAAGGCGTGAAAAATGGTGGCTCACGGACGCTGTAGCAGCTGAGTTACGTGGCCAATCCATAAATACATAATGTCACTTATTGATTAGGGAATAGTAAATATAGTGTATACTACTATCAATTTAAAAGAAAAAGTTTGTTGCATCTTTAAGAACTAGGGAACGAAGTTAGGTAGAAAACTGCATTTTACTTTTCGAAAAAGTACATTTAATTCTACCATTTGACCACCGAACGAAAATAGTGTCCAGTGGCACAGCGTTGGTCAGTTTACAGTGGAGACTGTGATCGCGAGGTAAAATTCTTGAAAATAGCCCATTTGTTAGTGGAATAATCGTTAAACAGGATTTTCTAGAGTTTATCTCGCACTACAAAGCTATGAACTTTTCTCTTTGTTCGCTAATGGAGCTGAAGTTTTGCAGGCGGACTGCTAGGTGGACTTTTAGTTGGGTGGTACAAAAAATAAAAACAACTTACACGCTGTTATGAGGATGAAAGGTATTTTGCGTTGATTGCGTCAACAAGACCGAAGTGCTCCAGGGAACGTTTCTTGCGTGTCTTTAAACTTCTAATCGACTCACATGTATATACGGAAAGTATGAACTAAATAGATCGCATTAGCACAGCAGAAACGTAATATATAACATTGCAGTTGTGGCACCACAATCAACGTAGAATCACTTTCATCGCCAAAACAATTGTTGAAAAATTTAAATTTTTTGTGCTTTCCAACTACTGTTTCACCTAACAGTTTATCTGTAAAAAATGCAGCTCGATCAACCACTCGAGCGAAAAGTTCACATATTCCTAGTGGGCGATTGCAGGATGCTTGAAACGTCAAAACAACTATTACGATTAGATTCAATAGGATCGAAAACGTCTTTCTTGACTAGTTATCGAACAAGCAATGGTCAGCTGGCCGCCTTAAGGACTTCTACACAAACGCTCATCACTTTTGAATGGAGCAAGCAACAAAACTCCGGGCTTGTCTGCATCAAAAGAGCTTAATTTGCTTTGTGAAATACTCATGTTTGAATCAAAAGTCCAACGGAAAAGTGTTCAGGAAATCATTTACGAATCCTCCACTGTAGAACGACCGTCATTGCATCACTGGAGACCATTTTCGTTCTGTGATAGAAAGATAGAGCTAACGGTACTTTTCTGAACAGTAAAACCGCAGATCTCTACCTAATTCTGTTCCCTAATCATTCACGATGCAACCGACTCCTTTTTTTAATTTAGAGTAGTAGATTCTATATCTACTATTTGGTAGAAGATATGTATAATCCGACATCTGAGTTTCTCTTAGAAGTGCATTCTAGCCTCAACGCTTACACAGACTGGCTCTTGTTTGGTTTGTGTGTGGGTGTGTTAGTTGTCACATTGCAGTTTCGTGTCAAAATGGAGCAGGTCCACTTTAAGTGAATTATTGTAGCACCAATGATACATAATAACAGTCGAAGTAATTTGGCCTTTGTCATCTACAGTTCTCGTCGCTTTCTAAAGAGCGTATAGATGACTTTTCATAGGAGATATATCTGAAATCATAAAAATGATTTAATAAAAAAAGAATACCAATACCGTTTGTTATTGTAATTTTGACCAGTACTGTATAGTAACTGTTAGACTGCAGGTGATGAGTATTGCGGTTCTCGTTTATTATGAAAGACGCCGAAGTCATTTTTCCTGGTTGTAATAGTTATC